CTACAAGCTGCAAGTGAACCATCATACTTGATCTATGAACTCTTTGCTTAAATAGAAGAATATCGCAAGTGAGAATTCTTTGTATTCATGAATATGTTTAGGAAAAGATAAGATCTGTCAGACAAGGCAGCCTTATTTTTTTTTTTCCCTATGGATGAATGAGGTAATCCAGGAAACAAACAATACCCAGCCATCTGAATGTCTTTGTTAGACTATAAATTCTACCTTGTTTTAAAAATTTAATGGTTATAAAATTGTTATTAGAAAAATAGTCGTGCTTCCATGAAGTGCATATGTAGTTTCATGATCATATTGTATTAGAACATAATTCTTTAGTTCAATGAATGGTTCAGAGAAATATTGCACAATGTGCTTTAGAATATAGATATAGGAGAATGGATTTAATTTAAGTAATTTATTAATAACTCAAAACTTTCCTTTTTAAGGGAGCAAGTATATCAGAAATTAAGAAACAGTACCGTGCACTATCACTAAAATACCATCCAGATAAAGGAGGAGATGAAGTTATGTTCATGAGGATTGCTAAGGCCTATGCAGCGTAAGTTTCTTTTTTTATTTACAAAAAATGGGAACTTGGTTTTACAGGGATGGAAGCCTCTCATGTAATAGCAGGGATGACCTAAGCAGCCAGGCAAAATGTGTTTGGATATGTAATGAAAGTCAAAACATGTCTCGGTTCAGTGCATACTTGCTCTGTACAAGATAGGATGGATAACTTGTTTAGCAGCTGTCAGAATTCTGTAAGGTGTTAGGTCTTTGTTTTAAACTTCCATTTCACCTAGAAAAGTGTTTCCAGTGTGATACAGTATTAAATCTTAAAGATGACAAAGAATAAAATGGATCTTGTGGTTTTTAATGAACCAGCCCTGTCGCAGCAATTCTGAAGTGTTGCTTAGAAAAGAAATATACTGTTCATTGCACCTGGTGATAAAGCCAGAGTGTAAGAGAGTATTTTTAACTCTGTTCCCATCTAGCGACAAAGATGTTTCATTCTGGTTCTGACTTGATTTTCTCAGCTCCCCCACGTCCCTTTTAATTTGCACTTGCCTTGCAATCCTGATTTTTCACTCAGTGACTGTTTCATATTAGCTACATCATTCTTAAAAGCTGAATCTTCAAATCTTTTCCTCCAGAGTATTTTTTGGCCTTACCTCTGCTTATAGCTTTTTTTTTCTCATCTGAGAGATAATGTGTAATATTAGAATTCGTTATAAAGGAACTCCCTTTTTATTGAATTTTTCCATAATCAAGATGTGGGTTTGGGTTTTGTAACGCTGTTCATACGTAGAATGTTAATACAGCTTTATATTCTTTTCTGCTCTAAATGATCATCTGTCAGAGTCCAATACTCTCTGACCAGGTTCTTTTAGATATTCCATGTGTGGAGCCTGTAATGTTTAATATCAGATTTGCTTATCTGAAGACAGCTGATGATTTAAGAGTGATACATTTGTGGTTTTAGTATATTTTGTAAGTTAGACTTCACAAAATACAGCAATTTCAATACACAGTTCAATCACAATATCAACGTGATTCCCATTACTGGTCTCTCTAAGCTCACTGTCACAATGCTGGGCATCCCCAGGCGCTGGGAAGGCATGTATGGGTTGAAGCCGGCTTGAGCCTGTTGTTCTCTTCAGAATTCTTCTGCTAGTTGTCTAGTTTTTATACTCTTACGTTGGTCTGAGCCAGGTATGTGCTTGCCCATGCTGGTCTTGCAAACTTGAGGAGACATTCATACTTTTTTTTTTTAGTGAACTCGAGAAGAAAGTCAGTTGTCTATGTGGTTGACCTTACTGACTGAGTGTCCTGTTTGGGATGAGGTGAGAGGGTGAACCAACATCATCCTCGCTTGAACAGTTTTGAAATCATATTTTCTGCTTAGGCACATCTGCATCACTATGAAAGTCTCTTCAGTAGGATATTCTGGTATTGCTTTCTAAACTCCTGAAACATCTTGCTGCTTTGCTTTGCAAGCTAGCACTCAAATGCTTGATTATACAGTTTGATGCTTCAAATGCTAGTGCAAGGGCTGTGGCAGAGGCATGTCTTGAAGTAAACGACGGTGAAGTTCCTTAGCCATGCTTTCTTGAAAGAATATAAAAGCTACCCATTCAGTGAGTCTGCTTGTTAACAAATGTGAGACTTAGAAATGATCAGGAGATGTGACTCATTCACTGGGTTTCTTCTGTGAGACAAAATCTTCCGTATAGCGAATGCGTGGTGTTCTGTTTCCTAAAGCAGTATTCTTCCTGCTAGTAACAGGGATTCTGTTTGAGGTGCTATATTATTGCCAAGAAACTGTCATTACAGAACGGGCATAGAAACTATAAAATTTAGGAGGTGGTGTCTTAATTTATTTCTCTCTTCTTAAATATGAAACTAGGGAGTTCCAGGAAAAAAACCAACCAAACAAATGCATGCCATCAAAAGCCAGAAGTCTAGAGTAAGAGAATTAAAAGCCCATATGGACAACTTCTGCTGTATCAACTCATCTTGCATATTTACCTTCCTTCCAATGAAAGATAATGTTTTCAACCTCTGTTTCTTTCAAAATTTGCTGTACTGTAACCTGGCATTGAAAAGTGCTCTTTGATGGGTACAGAGGCACTCTCATGAAAGGGAGATGCGATTCTTCCATGTCCTGTACGAGGGTGCACCTTCTGTGTCTGATTTCTTCTGCTGTCGTAGTGCTAAAAGAATTTGCCTGTGTATCATGAAGGAATACAGCAGTATTGTTTCATATCAGATTTCATATAAACTATAGCAGAAGCTGTTTAGCTTGCCAGATCATCTCCGAAGGGTAGTATAAATGCTGAAGTTTCTGTAGGTTAATGATTTAGAGAAATTTCTTTACTTCTGTATTAACTTAATGTCTCTTCTTGAAACTAGCTTAACTGATGAAGAATCACGAAAAAATTGGGAAGAATTTGGTAATCCAGATGGACCACAAGGTAACAATTATGAATGACAGAAGTAATGTAATTTCTATGCATTGAGCTGTGTAGTATCTAATCATTTGAGAAGCACTCGGATCTTATTGTATATAGAACAACTTTCTCCTATGATTTGAAGCAATGCATCCGATCAATTCTTTGCTTGTGAAACTGGCTCTGTGGTGGTGGTGGGAGGGAAAGGCAGGAAAGAGTTTGCTTTCATATTTTTCAAGCTTCTTACCAGGGAAAAGAAGAGAAGGGTATTTTTTAATTATGCAGCTTCAGTAAGTATCTAGAGAGACTTGCCAATATTAAAATGAGGTCTCAGCAAAAAGTAGAATAATGCTCATCAGAAGCTTGCTAATTTTAAACATTTCTTAGTATTTATGATCAGATACTATAAATGTATACTGACAAATTAACAACTAGCCATAATGCAATAAACACACTTGGAAGGAATGTATGTGAGGGTATGTGTGTATTTGAATAAATACTGTATATGCATCTGTCTTCCATTTGCTGGAAGCAGTACTGTTTGAGCGTGGCTCTATGCTACCTTCATCTTGAGGAGTCCTGGTGATTATCCCTATGCTGGTAGATTGTTCCTGGGCAGGTAGCTATATGGAAATAATCCTGATGATGGTGTATTAAAGCTTTACAGTAGATGATCCAAATTAAAACCATTTAAGACTGCAAGTTAATAGATCCCTCCACTCCCATTTGCAGTTAAATGAGTTGCTTGTATAACATCTTCGTGAACGTTGTTTAAATGGACTATTTGTGAGGAAGAATATTGTGTATTTCTAGCTGCTTCTCCTGATATTCATTACAAGCAAAAAGAAATTGTGCCATCTGTTAGGACAGGCCTCCATAGATTTCTGTTGTTGATGCCCTGCAGTTTGCAGGACTAAGTTCTACTACATATCTACGTGGAATGAGTTAAGGCCAGCTTGGAAGTAATAAATGGAATTTGTAGCTTATTTGTGAAGTTACGAGGTGATGTGAGGGAACTCTGTGCTGGAAATTCTTCTTCTGAATTATACCCATCCAACGTGGGAAATTCGTTTTAAAAGAGGGGAAAAAAAAAAAACCCAAAACATCCCCTGAACCAGTGTTTCAAAGAAACAATCTTCCCTCCCCCTTCAAAAAAACAGCTGTGTCAGCTAAATCATAGTCTGACAAAGGCATTTCTGATGGACTAAGGTGCTGGTTCAGTTTCTTTAACCTCTGTGTCTTATAGCATAGCAAATTTCTTTCAGCTCATAGCTTCTCTTGGTTTCCTAGCCAGGCAAGTAGGAGGACTCTGTCCCTCTTCCTGCAGCATACAAATAAGATCTTGCTTCAGAAATGCTGTCACAATATCAGCAAAATTGTACTGTAAATTTTAGTCTGGTATGTGCACAAATAGTTTTCCTAAGACCTTTCCTGATGCTAAACTGTTCTTGGCATCTACAAGCTACTAACTTACGTGTTGCCAAGGCATAGGATTTCAAGTTAGTATGTCAGTGTCCTTGAATGGATCTGAGCTGGGACTTCAGAAAAAAAATTCAGCCAAAAGCTGAGAAATTAAAGTAATGAAGGTCCTTGTGCGGTTGGCTTGGCGATTGCTTTCACAAACTTAAGGGGCTCTGGATTCCTGAAGGGCAAAATGAAGTGATTCTTTGGTATGGTAGCAGCTTGTACTGTGAGTGTGAAGCCTCCTGCTCTCCCGAAACCCCAACTCAGACTATGGTGGAATTGGAGGTCTCTGCTTTGCTTCTAGGGGTCTCGTTGTTGCTTCATCTGAAGGGTGGGAAGAAGCCTGAAATTTTTTTTCTCTCCTAGCCTCTATTCTGTAACCTTGTTCCACACTGAAGTGTGAGGAGCTTTCTAATCTAGTGAAATTCATCTTCTCTTGATTTATACACTTGTAGTGCAAAAATCTGTACCCAAGCTACGTCCTCTAGTTTTTTAGGTCTGCATAGTCAAAGAATGGAGATGGTCCCTTTTATAGATATTCTGGGATGAGGTGAAGCATATCTAACCAAGTTAAATGAGGTACATCCCACCCTCTGTGCCCAGCACAGAGGAACAGCAAGCGCTATTCCTCTATCCAGCTGAAGCAGCATAGAGGTTTAGGGCAGGCAAACAAGATTTTCTTGTCTTTGCATGACTTGCTCCTTTAGTAAAACACTGAGTGTACAAAATCATTTGAAGAGTGTTTAAAAGCAGGTGGGAGAGTAAAAAGATAGGCTTTTAAGAACGTAAGGCAGTTTTAGCAGACATTTCCCCTTGGTGTTTGCTAGTGCTGCAGCTCTGAGCATGGATGGGGGCAAGGAGACTCTTAGACCAGAAGAGAGAAAGCTTTGTACTAAACTAATTCTGTTCCCAGAACAGTTTGGAGCTACAATCCTAAAGGTCAAAAATATTGTGGGGAAACTGAAATTGATACTGCCATTAAGACACATTACATTTTTAGTAGATTCTTCTATAAATCCTTAACCATTAACATAGAGGGAAATGTCTCCAGACACTTTTCCAGAGCAGGGAGTTTCTGTAACTTAGTGTGGTGAATTCACTGGGTGTTACTCTGAACTCCTAAGCTTGAGGTGTGATCAAGTCCTCCAGAAGTTTAATTTGAGTCTCAACAAATAGCAGTTTCTGACTTAATGACATAGAAGGCACATTAGGCTTGTGCATAACAACTGGTTGTCTGAATTGATGGCTGTCACAGTCTGTTGGAGGCAGTACCGGCATAGTACCTAAGTACATAGGGGGTCATAGTCTGTCCTTATTTAAAGCAGTATTCCTCATTGATACCTGCTAGTGCTGAGGAAAACATGGGTTTTTGTTTTTGGGTTTTGGTGTTTTGTTTTTTTTTTTTTTTTTTTAAGCAAGCCCTAGAAATTTGTAAAGTCTTTTTCTCTTTTTTTTCTTGGTTTCCTAGAACTTTCAGTGTTGGGATAGGTACTATTTGCAAAATTCAATTTATTACTGCTAAAGCGTCTGAAGGCAAGCTATTTTATGCTATTCTATATTCAGATATGTGTACCATAGATGTTGTAGTTAGAGAACCATGTCTTCTTTCTGCAGCATAACTCCTTTTGAATTGAAAAGTGTTCCTTTCTCTTTCTTACCAAATCGTACAGAAATTTGAACCTGCAGAGGGGTTTGTTTTTACAATTTACAGCTTAGAACACTTTCCTAAATTTACAAACAAATAAAACTTCTTCCATAGAGTTCATTTGCTCAAACAGTTTTCTTGCAGTTCATGTATTCACTGAACTATAAGTATTTAAACTGCTGAAAACTCTGCCAGGCAGAGCTCATAAATCTTTCCATCTGTGAAATTTTTCTCTTTTCTCCCCCC